AAACAGAGAATGTGATAAAATCAGAAGGCAGTTACTGAGAAAAGGTGTTGACTTATAGTGGCAAGCAAACCGTGCTATTCTGAGGAATGATTTTGGCTAGAGTGGGAACAGCTGGATAGGTGGTGATAAATTGTCAGAAATATGTACCTGTACAAAAATATAAGCAAAATTATTTGTGCAGAGACAATTATTTAACATTAGGTTTCTGATTGCTCTGTTCAATAGGCAGCTGTTTCTGATCAGGAGAGAAAGAAAATGAAGCGAAAGGGTGATCGCTATTCTACACAGACTTCTCTCATTGTAGCAGCACTGAAGAGATTACTGCCCATTGGATTAAATATTTGTGCACCTGGAGACCAGGAGTTAATTGCACTGGCTAAAACCAGATTCAGCATGGTAGGTGAATTAAGACTGCTTTTTGTTTTTACCGAGGTCTGGGGTAAATATTCTGTATTCCTGTAACAGAACCCCTTGACATGAGATTTCCCTGTTTTCTTTGCTGTCCCAAAGCCCAAACAATCATTTATCTGACTAACATTGAGTTTGGAGCATGGAATTGTGTTTTGTTTTGTCCTGAAATGATTTAAATAGAACTCAGTTTGGAGCTCTATTCATAACATTCCAGATCTGATATTTTAAAAGGTGAGGTTTACCCTAACTCTTTTCCTGGGGTTTGTATGTTTTGTTGAAGCAACTTTCGCAGCCTCTGGGAAATTTCACACCTAATGATCTTATAAGTTGTTATTTGAAAAATATTCCTTTTTTCATCATAGAAGGAAATGGGCCTCTGAAAACTGCACTAAACAGATTTAAAATATAGCTGGATTTTAAGTAAAAGAATCTCAATTCTAGGGCGGACCATACATTGTATAGTGGTGCGAGGGCAACAAAGAGATCCTTCTGTTATCTATACAGTTATTTGGACAAAGGGTGTATTGGTAATTGTGATAATATAGATTATTGTTCAATGTGCTGAATTACTATGGTTAAATGTAAATATGAATGATGGGATCATAACAAAGAGCTAGGACATGTCTACCTATAGCCAGGTAACATAAACGTTACAGTCTTAGTTTAACCTCCCATTTAATGCAGTACAGGACCAGACAAAAATCTAATCTTAACACAGGCAATAACTTTATTTAACTATGTGCTCTATAAAGTGTGCATGATGCATTGTTTGTTTCCTTGACAGAAAGACACTGAGGATGAAGTTCGGGATATTATCCGTAGTAATCTTCATTTGCAGGGCAAGGTAATTTAAATGCAGTATTTATGCTGCTTCATTTTCTTCCATATAACTAACAAATATTTTGATTACTCAGGACAGCCAGTGTGTACTTGTAATACTCTTTCTCTGTCAAGTTTCGTTGTCTTCTCGGCAGATGTTTAGGAAATAAAGGACTTGTGTTTCCATGTTATTCCTAAATTACACATCACAAAAAATTGAGCTAATTTGTTCAAAATGACTACTTGAAAATGTTCTGTCAGAAATTTTAGATTAATTACTAGCTGCTGTAGTTATATTGATAAAACACATGGCCTGTAAGTAAATCCCTTATGGTATGCCTTATTTTTATCACACTGACACCTTTAATGATGCAGTGTAAGACGATGTGATATGCTCACAGTGACAGCAGCAAGAGATTTAAACAGCATGTTTATATTTAACTTGCCTTCCAGTAGTGGGGCCAGAATCTGCAGAATGTTCAAGGACCATCATTTCACAAGAGCTAGCCCTTAGGGGGATACTTTCAGCCTGAAAGATTCCCTGGAGTGGTGAAGAACTGTCACAATGACTCTACTTTGTTCCTGTCCATGTATTAGGAGGGACTTATAGCTAGAGTGCAATGAACTCCATCCCTTCTTGCCTTGCCTTATGGTCCTAAGGGAGAAGCTACAAATTGCTCTGTGGTAGACTAGGCTTGGAAATGCATTGAATTGTGTTTGGAGCTGGGCTGATACGTGAAAGGCCCAAGAGTGGCATAAATTCACTTTGCATCACTTAAAGGAATAGAGAATTAGGCCTGCTGAGTTGGAAGGATTTGATTATTTTAATGCAAACTCTGATGAAGAGAAAATACTAGTGTTTGCATCATTTTTGATGCAATGATATGGGGTACATTCTGAAAACCATCCAAATGATGTTATAAACCTTGAATCATTTTTTCAAAAGTGACTTTAGGCACGGTGACTGTAGCATAAGTATAGGTGGGTGAGTGAAGCATAAGCTCTGTGCACTTCCTGAAGTAGAGAGGGACATCATAATCAGGGATTCTGTTTTTTCCTGATATAAAATCACAAATTCTCTGATTAAAAAATGGCAAATTCTTTAATTAAAAACCCACAATCCATGATTAAAATTAAAGGTTTCCCACAGCCCCTCAGCACTGCTTGTGCCTCTCACCCTCCACATATCCTTCCTGGTGCCTCTTGCCCTCCACTCACAGCCCCTGCTCACCCAGCCTTGCAGGAGAGGGCCCCAAGCTGCCAGGGCTATGGATCCGATCTGTAACCCCCTGCCCCTGCTCCCCCCTGCTGCAGGGGCAGGGGCGCTGGCTCCCCACTGCTGTACACACTCCTAAGGGGGGCAGGGGTGACCCGTGCCCCCAAGATCTGTGCCTGAGGCAGGTGCAAGATGTGGGCATGGGCTCTTGCCCCACTTCCCATCCCCCAGGGCCTCTGCAGCCTGGCAGGCATAACCCAGTGCAGCAGGGAAGAGCAAAGCCGTGCAGAGAAGCTGCTTGCAGCTATGAGCTCCCTGCCCTGGTGACACACTTTCTGCACGTGCCGCTGCTTTGAGGGGTGCAACCCTGTGCTGCTGCCCTCAGTACATCCCTGCATGTAGGAGGTGCGTTGCCAGGGCAGTGTGGAGCTCACAGAGGTGATCAGCTTCTCTGAATGGCTCCAGTGCTCCCTGCTACGCTGTGTTGTACTTGCTGGGCTGTGGAGGCCCTGGGGGAGGGAAGCATTGAGGGCAATGGCGCAGGGTTGCAGCCTTCAGAGGAGTGGTATGCACAGGGGGCGCATTGCCAGGGTAGTGGTGAGCTCAGAGCGGCGAGGAGATCCCCATGCGGCCCCACTGTTCCCTGGCACACCAGGTTGTGCCTGCTGGGCTGCGGAGGCCCTGGGTAGGGAAGCAGGGTGGAAGCCCACGCCTGCAGCCTGTGCCTTTCCTGCGGACAGAGCTGGGAGAAGCAGGTCTCCCTTGCACCCCAGGATTGTGTGTGGCAGTGGGGAGCTGGTCTTCCCCCTCCCACACGCAAGCCACCCATGGCCCCATCCTGCTCCTCGATGGGGCCCTACTGCTGTGCATTGCAGCTACAGGCCTCAAGCCCCAAGCACTGCTCAGCTGGGCAGCATCCCCAGCCCAGCACTGCTCAGCTGGGCAGCATCCCCAGCCCTGCCCAGCTCCCTCCCTCCCTACAGGGGCCTCAATCCCCCTCTTTCCACCCCACTTACCTGCTGGAGCTGCTCTGCAGTCTGCCTGGGGCCATGTGATGTCCATGCATGTGGCACCCCCTGTCACACCGCTTTCTTCCCAGCTCCCTGCAGGCTGGAATTCTATGAGCCTGTAGGGAGCTCATTGCAAAATGGCAAAATCCATGGGTTTCTCTGATAATATGAGACATCCATGTTTGCCTCTAATTAAAGGTAAAGTCCTCAGTTTACTCTGTTTTTCCATAGGAAATGGAAAACCTGGATCCCTGATCATAATAGAGCGAGGGGTACTTCACCCTCCCATTCTCCAGATCCAGCCCCAGCAGGGGAAAGGTGCAGCAGTGTTCCAGTGAAGGGCAGTCTGGGAAATGTAGTTCCTCCTGTGGGAGTAGATGCCACCTAATTTTTTGCCACTAACAACCATTGTTTTTTGGCCACTCCACATGGTTGGCTGGCAAAACATAAGGTCATGTCTCTCTTCATCAGTACTGATCCTTCAGCTGCTGCTTATGTGTTACAACTGCTTTTAGGTAACCAAGTGTATCAGTTATTTTTTGGAAATGGGGGCTTAAGCTTCTAACTCATTTAAGTGATTTTGAAAATTTTACCTGAAATCTTTCTTTCTAACAATATATTTGATCTAGTTGGTGATGGTCCTACTTTGAGCAGGGGGTTGGACTAGATGACCTCCTGACGTCCCTTTCAACCCTAAATTTCTATGATTCTGTGATTTTAACCTTGGCCTATATAGTGTGTAGAGTACGGAAATATGATGCAAGATTGTGTGGATTTTGAAAGCACACAAGAATGTATTCCCCAATACTAACTTAATACAAATTAAATACTCATGAAATGTTGCAAGTGTCCTGGAAAGGTTTGATATCTAGTCACTGTGCAAGGTTACCAACCCTCCTGCAAGTTTAAACATAGAAAATGATACTATTACAATAGGAAATTCCCTAGTTCCCAAAAAAGGCCAGTTTGGAGAAAAAGGGAAAAAATGCTATGGAGATCTTTTGTAAAATGTATACACAGCTGTTGTTAAATAACGTACTCAGCAGATTTCAGATATGCCTGTTTACTACATACTTTCATGCATAAAGCTAGAGCAGTGTGTTTCCCCAGTGAGAAGAGGTACTTCCATCCTGACATTTTCTCTTCATACACCCTGTCATTCTGCAAGCCATTCAGTTTTAAGTTTTGCTCATTTCATGCTGCTTTTAAGCACTCAGTCTACCATTTTAAGTACTTTTTGTTTGTTCAATTTCCGGTTAATTTCTTCTGTGTTGTATTCTGTATGGCCCCATTAAGATGTTTGTGTCTGTTACTGCTTCACTGCCTTAGGATAATGACACTTAATAATACCTTGACCTGTGCCTGTGCTTTCACTGAGGAAACTTCTTTTCCTTAGATTAAAGTCTGCTGGTGTTCAGCAGCACAGTGTCCTCTGTTTAAAACACATGGAAATAAAATAATTTCTTGATTTTTCAGACTAAAGAAATCCAAGCTTGGCTTAGCCTTTCCTGCGGACAGAGCTGGGAGAAGCAGGTCTCCCTTGCACCCCAGGATTGTGTGTGGCAGTGGGGAGCTGGTCTTCCCCCTCCCACACGCAAGCCACCCATGGCCCCATCCTGCTCCTCGATGGGGCCCTACTGCTGTGCATTGCAGCTACAGGCCTCAAGCCCCAAGCACTGCTCAGCTGGGCAGCATCCCCAGCCCAGCACTGCTCAGCTGGGCAGCATCCCCAGCCCTGCCCAGCTCCCTCCCTCCCTACAGGGGCCTCAATCCCCCTCTTTCCACCCCACTTACCTGCTGGAGCTGCTCTGCAGTCTGCCTGGGGCCATGTGATGTCCATGCATGTGGCACCCCCTGTCACACCGCTTTCTTCCCAGCTCCCTGCAGGCTGGAATTCTATGAGCCTGTAGGGAGCTCATTGCAAAATGGCAAAATCCATGGGTTTCTCTGATAATATGAGACATCCATGTTTGCCTCTAATTAAAGGTAAAGTCCTCAGTTTACTCTGTTTTTCCATAGGAAATGGAAAACCTGGATCCCTGATCATAATAGAGCGAGGGGTACTTCACCCTCCCATTCTCCAGATCCAGCCCCAGCAGGGGAAAGGTGCAGCAGTGTTCCAGTGAAGGGCAGTCTGGGAAATGTAGTTCCTCCTGTGGGAGTAGATGCCACCTAATTTTTTGCCACTAACAACCATTGTTTTTTGGCCACTCCACATGGTTGGCTGGCAAAACATAAGGTCATGTCTCTCTTCATCAGTACTGATCCTTCAGCTGCTGCTTATGTGTTACAACTGCTTTTAGGTAACCAAGTGTATCAGTTATTTTTTGGAAATGGGGGCTTAAGCTTCTAACTCATTTAAGTGATTTTGAAAATTTTACCTGAAATCTTTCTTTCTAACAATATATTTGATCTAGTTGGTGATGGTCCTACTTTGAGCAGGGGGTTGGACTAGATGACCTCCTGACGTCCCTTTCAACCCTAAATTTCTATGATTCTGTGATTTTAACCTTGGCCTATATAGTGTGTAGAGTACGGAAATATGATGCAAGATTGTGTGGATTTTGAAAGCACACAAGAATGTATTCCCCAATACTAACTTAATACAAATTAAATACTCATGAAATGTTGCAAGTGTCCTGGAAAGGTTTGATATCTAGTCACTGTGCAAGGTTACCAACCCTCCTGCAAGTTTAAACATAGAAAATGATACTATTACAATAGGAAATTCCCTAGTTCCCAAAAAAGGCCAGTTTGGAGAAAAAGGGAAAAAATGCTATGGAGATCTTTTGTAAAATGTATACACAGCTGTTGTTAAATAACGTACTCAGCAGATTTCAGATATGCCTGTTTACTACATACTTTCATGCATAAAGCTAGAGCAGTGTGTTTCCCCAGTGAGAAGAGGTACTTCCATCCTGACATTTTCTCTTCATACACCCTGTCATTCTGCAAGCCATTCAGTTTTAAGTTTTGCTCATTTCATGCTGCTTTTAAGCACTCAGTCTACCATTTTAAGTACTTTTTGTTTGTTCAATTTCCGGTTAATTTCTTCTGTGTTGTATTCTGTATGGCCCCATTAAGATGTTTGTGTCTGTTACTGCTTCACTGCCTTAGGATAATGACACTTAATAATACCTTGACCTGTGCCTGTGCTTTCACTGAGGAAACTTCTTTTCCTTAGATTAAAGTCTGCTGGTGTTCAGCAGCACAGTGTCCTCTGTTTAAAACACATGGAAATAAAATAATTTCTTGATTTTTCAGACTAAAGAAATCCAAGCTTGGCTTAGTGAATAAAAAGAAAATAACTCCATCAAATCTAAACTAGAAGAATAGCTTTTTCAATGAAAAACCCTTCAAGTATAAGCATTTTAAGTGTAAATTTATAAAACAGAGGATGCCATGTAGATTATACTTGTGCAATCCTATGCTCAATATAACTAATATTCTAAATGAATATGTATCTGTCTTCTCTAGCCACCGGATGCTTCATTTTCAAACCCACACATGAAAAATGAACATTTACCATTTGGATTGCAAATTGATTAAAATAGTATCTAAATGTAAAAAAAAAAATCATTCTTAACTTTTTGTGTCCTGTGGTCTAAAGGATCATTTTTTTGTGAATCCTCAAGCCCTGTAACATGTTAAACATTGATGTTAGGTTAAAATATATGCTATAATTTCATTAATATATACTTTTAAATAAAACATATGAATGGATGGCATGATGCTAATTGCACTAAAGTGTATTTTCAGTTTTAAACAATAAAACCTTTTTTTTTATTTATAACTCAGATCCTTGGCACTTAAACACATTCCTGTATGCGTGAAGTTGCTAGTTTCACCTGGCTCTCGTAAAGCCAGAATATCCCACTGCTTTCTGGGAAACTTCTTCTGGAACAATAGAGAGTTTTTTTTAAAAGTAGTAGATACTTTTTTGCAGTTTCTCCCCTGAAAATGATCTACAGCCATGCCATGGCACATGCATAGTTGCAGAGTGCTTTTTAAGTGTCCAATCACAGAAAAAATAATCCTCTTCAAATGAGGTATCAGACAAAGGTGTTCTGCTTTAAAGCACATTAAGGAACTTGTGTTCCCTAAAGTTAATTTTTGGCATTATCAGGGCTGGGCTGGTGCAGAGCCCCCATGCCTCATGGCCCTTCCCCACCCCCATTACCCCAGCTGGTGGGGCTCTGATTTCTCCATCACCCCACCCCCCCAGCTCAGGCCAGGCAAACCCCAGCTAGCAGCTCCTGCTGCTGGCTTCTGCTGACAGCCCTGGGCTTGAGGGAAAGGAGTCGGGGGGTGGGGAGGAGGGGATGTGGGGCTGGGGAAAGGGGTTGCTTCTTGGTGCTCTGCTTGCCTGCAGGCAGGCTTTATTTCCTCCCCCAATTGAACATCTGTTGCGTCATGGCGACTCACTCATGTAAAGCGCCATGAGTTAGATTAGGGACCTGAACATCTGTCTGTGAGCTGGATGTCGCTTTCTTTACTCACTATAACATTGTTCAGTCCATTGTATTTGCCTCCCATTTCAATGTCATTTATTGTCTAAACCATTTCACTTTTGTAATCTGCATGGTTTGAGAACCATCTTAGTTAAGTGTTTTGCTTTGTGTTACATTTTGTCTTCTCCTGTCTTCACCCGGTTTCTGTCTTTCCTTGCATGCTGTTACTCAGTACCAACACTTTTTTTTCAAGAAACTGATGACAAAATTCACTTTCATTTTGACACGGATGAAGATCAAGTCACCAAAATGTTTCTCCAGTCATGTTAATTCAAGCCTTGATGTGTCTGCCACTCACGTCCATAGAAAGCTACATATACAGAAAAGCTCTGCCCTACTAGAAAGCGGTGGGCCCTCTGTTCAAAAGATGTCGCTGCCTGTGATTAAAAAGTCCTTTGTGGATTATCCTTTCATGATGATCCAATCAAATACTCACACCAGGACTGTGGATATGAAAGCTGTTAAGAAATGGAAAAGCCTAAAAGTAGAAAGGATACCTGCTATTCCTGGCTTTCTAGTGTGCAGTAAGCTATTACTGACTGATTGTGTAAGTTTATAGTAATTTTCAGCACTTCTTTAATCCATAGATTGTAAAGTGCTTTGTTGAGGTGAATAAGCATTATTATCCCCATTTTAGATGCATACTAAGTGGCTTGACTAAAGGGACACAAAATCAATGGGTGGATCAGGAGCAAAATTCAGGTCCTAGTAAGATGTGAGATCCATTTTCTCATGCTGCTTTACTATTGTCAATGCTACTGGCATAAAAAATGATCACAGTAATAGCACAGTGTTCTTAGCTTTGAGGTTTATTAGCAAGGCTACATCCTGATTGAAAGTAAAGTTCAGTTACTAAATTTGGTAAAATTGAAATACAGACAATTATTCCCTTTAAACTTTATATAGGAAAATATTGAAGGGAATATTTTTGCCTTATGCAACCAGGCTACAGTAATAAATGTGGCATTTTTAATTTTCTTTTCTTAACATTTTATATTTTTTACTAGCAGACAGTGAAATTTGGATCACTGATGTCATGTTAGAAATTTGTCAGTAAGGATAAGAAGGATAAAAATCAAGATAATAAATCTAATAAGTCAGAAATCTTTAATCCTGTTCGTGACTAATATGCAAAGATTAGAAATAGTCGTAATGAAAACCAGTATAGTTGTAGGAATCCCAAATGTAAAAAGCAATTTGAATGTTCTTAGTATAATGATAGGGCATATGTATATAAAAATGTATATTTAGTATACATAGAAAACTACATAGTAGCTTACTGTATATCTTCTGTAAAAATGCTTTTCTACTTTGATGTTGGCAGTGTCTAGTGCCCCCCCGACAAGGCTTCCTTCTTTCCTTAAAGCCTTTGTAGTTCTCGTTAAGTGTGCAATACATCTTCAACAAGCTATTCCTCAAGTAGCCCTATATGTATGCATCCTTCCTTTGCTTTCAAATGAACAGTGCCACATTAAAGAAATGTCAACTGCTGCATTTTGGACACTCAAAAGCAAAGGGTTAACAAAACAAAATCATCTGCTGCCTTAGAAGCATCCTCATTAGTACTTAATAAACTGCTGTACCATTTTGTTTCAGTGCTTGTTTAGATCTTACGTGAATTCTTTTATTCCTGCAGCTTGAGGATCCTGCCATTAGATGGCAGATGGCCCTTTACAAAGATTTACCAAACAGGACTGAAAATACCTCTGATCCGGATAAGACAGTGGAAAGAGTTCTTGATATAGCTAATGTACTTTTTCATCTGGAACAGGTTAGACTTTTCTTTTTCATGGCAAAAAGTGTTTAGAATTGCAGGTAATATGTCGCAGTATTAACTGAGGAATTTTTTGTTTGTTTGTTTTTAATAATGTTTTTTTCTCCCTGGGTTTAACCCTTCTCATGGTGTGGCCCTTACCTTAATAGACAGAAAACTTCGTGATTCTCTCATTATTTGTTTCAACATCAACAATTGCTTAACTGGAAAAGTAGTCAGAAGCCTGACGAAGGGTGTTTGTGCCTGAAAGCTTGCAAAGAAGAATTTTTCCAACTATTTGAGTTGGTCTCAAAAAGGACTATTGGATTTACCCAAAGAACCTTGTCTGCTTATGTCCTTAGATCAACACAGCTACAACCTATACCCCTGAAAGCAGGTGTTTTGAAATTTTAAATCTGTTGTAGTGTCATTTAGCTAGCATCATGTAATCACTTAGCTCTCTGTGTACCATCTCTATTGCTGCTGGTTTGCCATAATTTTAAGAAGACTAGGTTAAATAATAAAATATACAATTTAATAGCAAATATTTGGACAATTTGAAAACAAGTTATGTTGCTGCTGTTGTTAGCATTGTTGCTATTATTATTATTATTATTATTATTATTATTAAATCTGGCTATTCAAATGTCATATTGTAGTTGTAGCAATCTAATTACTGTAAATTGTTTTTAAAAATGACATTTAATGAAGGAACAAAGGTGAAGTATACTTACAAAATGAGCCCGAGAAAAAATGTCCACATTTAAAAGGTAGAAAATGGCTTGTACTGTCCACATTTAAAAGAAAGAAAACCCTTGCTCATCTGGAAAGCTTGGCAACACTAACTATGTTCTGATAATCGGTTGTACAGCAAAGTATGAATCAACAGGTAGGTTTTAAATTCACTCTGGCTGGTACAGAGATGCAAGCTGCAGTTATAAGTGCTAGTTTGACCATCTGCCATAATTTTTGCTACAGTCTTTCATTTCTCTCAGGGAACATACAGATGCTACACTTACATTGACCCAACTAGGGTTCAGCTGACCTAAGTCCTGAACTGTGCACAGGTTCTGGGATGTTTCATCAAGCAAAAAAATGGCCATCTGATCTAATTTAGTTCACCCACTTGCAGACCTTACACTTGGAGTGAAAACAGACGTTGTCCAACTTTAAACATTTTTAAGGTGACACAAATGCTGAGAAAATAGATGCCCTTTTACCCTTCATTGTGCCACATGACAGGAAAATCAGTGACACAACAAAAGATAGTAATAGACTCTGCCACTTTATTGCTGTGGACATCTATTTCCTTGTGTCACTTTCCCCACTTAGCCAGCCCCATGGTTCTCGAGCGGTGAGGAAAGCAGGGAGATCACATTGCCCCTTGTCCCTCACCATCAAGGGCAGGACAAGAGGCAGCATGTGTTTTGCCCAGTAAAGCAGATCAGTTATGCTGTGACATACCATGGCACAGCTGATCTACTCCATTTGGCGGTGTCTATTTCTAGTCTTAGATGGACTTAACAACAGTTAGGTTGATCTAAGTGCTGATCTGTATAAAAGTTCCAGAAGGTTAGATCAGGCAAAAAATGTCCCATCCAATCTAACTTTAGTTCACCTAGGAGATGAACTACCTAGATTGGGTTAACCTGTACCTGATCTTACCTGAACATGTGTACCAACTTACCCCTAGATGGACACCCTCTCCAAACCCCTCCTGTGAACCCATTAACTGCTCCCACCTTGACTTAAATCACATTCTAGGCACAGCTCCCAGTACCAGCAAATGTGTACATGCACAGGACCTGATCTATGATCCTGATCTATGATCATGTGGCTTCAAGTGAGCCACATGATTGTAAATTTGGTCCAAGGAACCGTATGTACATGTTCACAGCATGGTCCCAGGGATGGAAAAGCCCAGCTGTTCATAGCACAGTGTCAGGGCTCTGCTTTTCCTCCCCTTCCCCTGCCTGATTTGGCTGTCATTAGCTGATTTCCCCCCCCCCCCCGCCCCACAGTTGCACTTTTGCCACTTTTATTTATGGGTGTGTTTGAAAGTCAATAAAACCAGGGTAAATGCTGGCAGTTTGTTAGAAAAGGAGGTTCAGATAATGAGAACTCTCACCATTGGCATTTTGTTGTACTTTCCATGGATCCTTTATTCTTGATGATGCACTTGTCTTAACTGAGTCATTTCACTAAGGTGAATTGTTATTCTCTGATAAATTAGTATGAACTGGTATTATGGATTTCCATTTCTCAGTCTGTAGAATTTTTCTCAGTTTTCCTAAGATGTCTGTTGGATTTTCTCCAATCCAGAATTATAAAACTATTAAACCTTCCATCAGCAGAGGCTTGATGCCATTGCCTCAATATCTTTATTCCTCAGACAGTCAGGGCCATGTCCAGATGAGTGTGAATGTTTGGTTCCCCAGGGACAAACAGCAGCAGTGCACCTTGCACTGCAGCTACTTGTCCTCAGGGAATGCCTGTGCCATGTGTGTTTTGGCACATGGCAATTTACTACAGGGGCAGTAGGGGAGCCTGGGGTCAGCCCTGTGCTGGCCGCAACAGCTTTACCTGGGGTTCTGGGAGCCTCCTGGGGCTGCACCTGTGGCGCTGCTGCTATGCGGAGCCTGGCTGGCAACCACCCGGCTCCACTTTTCTGCAGCGCATGCTGCCCGTGCATATGTTGCTCCATTTGGTTTTTTTTCTGTGAGTTTTTCTGGCCCCTGGATCCCTGAACACCTCAGAGTATGTGGCACTGGAGATGTGTTTGCAGCACCACATACTGCATGGCCGCGCTTGTCTGGATGTGCATCAGATGTTTGTTTATTTCTTTGTTCCCCCCACTACCACCCTGGGATAAATGTGCATTGCTATCTTTTAAATGGTTGATTAATTCTGTGAAATTTTAAGTAAAAGTGGCTAATATTTCTAAATGGCATGGATTGCAATTGCTTATATTCTCACAATTACAGTTTTGTAATCTTCTCTACCTGGGTGTTAAATATTTTTCATTTGGGACTTGTTTTGTGGCTTTTGCTCTAGGTTTGTGTATTTTCTTTCTTTTCTCAGAAATGTCAGAAAAGTAGTCCCCAGCTTGCATAGATATTTGGAGTATGATTATAAGATTCTCTTAGTGAACAGGGTTGCGCACTGCTGGATGGTATTGGACCCAAGTTGACTGCTGGATAGCCGTTAATGAATGGTACTTAGAAGAATCAGAAGGAAGTCCCCTATTATTCCATTCACATCTCTGGGGATGGCAGAAGTTAAGAGCCCCCATTCTACAGAATCTTAACCCAGATGATCTGACAAGTGTACATATTAATATCCTTAGTAACCAAGGTGGCAAATTCATTGTGCTAGGTGCTGCACAAAACACAGGGCAAGAGACCAATGTTAGCTGAGCGAAGAAGACAAAATATCAGAAAAAGGACATTGAAGATGTGGGGAGTGGGGGTCAGGGATAAAAGGGCTAAGGGAATAGAAAAGAGTAGAGAAAGAAGGGGGCATAAAGTGCAGGCAGAGTGGAACTGTAAAGAAGAGATGTTGAAGGAGGGAGATGGAGTTAATAGGCCACCAGTCAGGAGAGTTAAAAATGAAAAAGGTTGCCATATCAGCTGAACAGCTCTGCTGCTGCTGGCTGAGTTTCTAGTAAGTCCCTCTATGGAAGCAGGACGTGCTCTCCAAAGGGGAACCTGAGGGTAGGAGCCCCTAGAAATGCCCCTTTTGGTACCTGGGTGGAACATTGGAGCCTGGTAAGGGCTAGAGAATTCTCCTGCATCCTTACAGGGATGACAGAAGTGGCTGAACAGCAGGGAAAGCAGGGGCCCCAATTTGTAAGCTTCTGGGCTCTCCATATGGGAGAACACCCTGGTCTTTAATGACTTGAGGGCTATTTAATTGTTCAATGAAATTAATTGGATGGACTGAACTTTTTAATGATTAATGAGTGGTGGACATTTTGATCTCATCCATTATTGTTTATTTGATTGCCTATCAGAATTAATTGGTCATGCTGATTTTCCTAATGATTAATGAATTCTGGACAGTGTGATTTCAATGATTATTGCTCTTTGATTGCCTATTGGAATTAATTGAACAGACTGATTTTCTTAATTGCCAATGAATTATGGAGATTTTTTATTTCATTGCTTATCATTTATTTATAATTGACCGATTAGACCAGAGCTTTCCAAACTGTGTGCCGCGACACATTAGTGTGTCGGTGGCAGTGTGTAGGTGTGTCGCGCGAAATGCAGAAAATTTTGCGGAAGGGCACCGCGGAGCTCCCTTACTCGCGTCTGCTTCCCTTGGCCCCTCCCCCAGAACTGAATTACTGTGTCGCGAAATGATGCATGTCTAAAAAGTGTGTCACCAACATGAAAAGTTTGGAAAGCTCTGGATTAGACAGAAAATTAGACAGGCTGAATGGTGATCTGAATTGGTGACGTTCTCTCTAAAATCTTACGAACAGCATCTAGCAAAGCAACATTGTGGTTGCACCTTTCTTTGGGAAGGAAGTTGAACAACATCCTAATACTCAGTTGGTATGTGGAAAAGGTGTGAGGGGAGATGGAGCCCCACATAGCGCTTTTGTGCGCGACCAGTGCAAACTCCTACTGATAATCAGAAACCCTCCCAACAATATCCAAGAACAAGGCATGGCAGGAAAAAAGGAGAGTCTGAGCAGGACATGCTGAAGGTCAAGCTGTCTAACCCTAACAGCCAGCATTTTGGGGGCCTGAGCTCTTGCTCATTGTGGCATAGGTCATACCTGTGGCACTGCTTACACCCTCCAGATAGGTTCTTTGTTTCCCAAGTTCCCATGGCTGGTGGGATGAGGCAAGGAATTAATCTGCTTTGTCCACCAGAAATGGAGTCATCCCTGCAGTTTGGGATCTGGGTCCTAGGGTAATCTTGGTAAATCCAGCTGAAACTCTTCTCCATGTGCATGAAACTGTACCCACTGTAGCTCCCTGCCTCTGCCCTTCCTGGCTGAATTTCCA